TATTGTCATACAGTGGTTGCAGTACTGCGGGACTTGGTTGCAGCCATTGCTAGGCCTGACCTTTTCGTTTCGATGGGATGTGTTGGGCTCGGCAGGGAGTACATTTTGGAGCGCTACGCGCCGCCTTAAACCAATAGGAGCAGAGCTCCCCTATGGGGCGGAGCTCCACGATATAGAACGATTAGTTACCGGAGTGTAACTCCAGTTCTATGAGTGGAGCGGAGCCCCATAGGACTTAGGGCCCTACCGACCCTCTCTCGCTGAAGATAAATATCTCGGGAGGCTGATTGAGGGGAGGCATCCCCTCTTACAGTGAGGGAAAAAAGTATTTGATCCCCTGCTGATTTTGTACGTTTGCCCACTGACAAAGAAATGATCAGTCTATAATTTTAATGGTAGGTTTATTTGAACAGTGAGAGACAGAATGACAACAAAAAAATCCAGAAAAACGCATGTCAAAAATGTTATAAATTGATTTGCATTTTAATTAGGGAAATAAGTATTTGACCCCTCTGCAAAACATGACTTAGTACTTGGTGGCAAAACCCTTGTTGGCAATCACAGAGGTCAGACGTTTCTTGTAGTTGGCCACCAGGTTTGCACACATCTCAGGAGGGATTTTGTCCCACTCCTCTTTGCAGATCTTCTCCAAGTCATTAAGGTTTCGAGGCTGACGTTTGGCAACTCGAACCTTCAGCTCCCTCCACAGATATTCTATGGGATTAAGGTCTGGAGACTGGCTAGGCCACTCCAGGACCTTAATGTGCTTCTTCTTGAGCCACTCCTTTGTTGCCTTGGCCGTGTGTTTTGGGTCATTGTCATGCTGGAATACCCATCCACGACCCATTTTCAATGCCCTGGCTGAGGGAAGGAGGTTCTCACCCAAGATTTGACGGTACATGGCCCCGTCCATCGTCCCTTTGATGCTGTGAAGTTGTCCTGTCCCCTTAGCAGAAAAACACCCCCAAAGCATAATGTTTCCACCTCCATGTTTGACGGTGGGGATGGTGTTCTTGGGGTCATAGGCAGCATTCCTCCTCTTCCAAACACAGCGAGTTGAGTTGATGCCAAAGAGCTCCATTTTGGTCTCACCTGACCACAACACTTTCACCCAGTTCTCCTCTGAATCATTCAGATGTTCATTGGCAAACTTCAGACGGGCATGTATATGTGCTTTCTTGAGCAGGGGGACCTTGCGGGCGCTGCAGGATTTCAGTCCTTCACGGCGTAATGTGTTACCAATTGTTTTCTTGGTGACTATGGTCCCAGCTGCCTTGAGGTCATTGACAAGGTCCTCCTGTGTAGTTCTGGGCTGATTCCTCACCGTTCTCAAGATCATTGCAACTCCACGAGGTGAGATCTTGCATGGAGCCCCAGGCTGAGGGAGATTGACAGTTATTTTGTGTTTCTTCCATTTGCGAATAATCGCACCAACTGTTGTCACCTTCTCACCAAGCTGCTTGGCGATGGTCTTGTAGCCCATTCCAGCCTTGTGTAGGTCTACAATCTTGTCCCTGACATCCTTGGAGAGCTCTTTGGTCTTAGCCATGGTGGAGAGTTTGGAATCTGATTGATTGATTGCTTCTGTGGACAGGTGTCTTTTATACAGGTAACAAACTGAGATTAGGAGCACTCCCTTTAAGAGTGTGCTCCTAATCTCAGCTCGTTACCTGTATAAAAGACACCTGGGAACCAGAAATCTTTCTGATTGAGAGGGGGTCAAATACTTATTTCCCTCATTAAAATGCAAATCAATTTATAACATTTTTGACATGTGTTTTTCTGGATTTTGTTGTTGTTATTCTGTCACCTACCATTAAAATTATAGACTGACAATTTCTTTGTCAGTGGGCAAACGTACAAAATCAGCAGGGGATCAAATATTTTTTTCCCTCACTGTATAGGGACACCTGTACTCCTATTGGCTGCAGGTGTGTGCATAATTTTGTCTCAGGCTGATACTGCCTTAGGGCAGAGGGTAAACCAATAGGAGCAGAGCTCCCCTATGGGGCTCCGCTCCACTCATAGAACTGGAGTTACACTCCGGTAACTAATCGTTCTCCACTGAGTCTAAAAAACTGTAAAAAGACAGTGTAGTATGGTAGCGCTATTTTATGAACAATGTTGTCAAAAAAATTTGGTTGATTTACTCCCGTCCCTATTGCAGAATGCAGCCTTTTGACAGCATGTACTAAAGTCGATTTAATCCACACTTGCATTAGTCCCCTCGTTTGGTGATTGCCTTTAAATTGTCACAGCCTAAATGACAGAAGACAGACCTACAGTATGTTTAAGCAGGGAAGTTTGGTAAGGTGACCTGATTTGTAACTATGAAAATAATTTTGTCAAACAGATTGTGAAGCAAAATGGAGTAATTTGATTCTAGAGGGGGGACAATAAATATACAAATAATTTGGTTAGGGTGTAGGGGCAGATTTATGTAATCTTGTCTTCAGGAGATTTTATCTATTTACTTAATTTAGACTGATCAGTGGAACAATTCAAATGTTTAACAATGGGCTAAAGTATTGGGTAATTACTGTGCTTGTCAGCAAGAACACTACTGTTGTTCCCCACTTATCTTTATTATTCTACTTCCTCCCAGTTTTGTCAGTGTAATTACATATTTGAAATTGTCAGGTGTCAGTGTGCAGCGGTAGGACGGAGTCAGGTGCAGGACACAGAACTGAGTAAATAACAAACTTTACTCGGAAAAAACAACAAAACTAATTTCCACGCAGGGAAATATAACAGCTCACAGCAGTATACAACACCAAACAAAGAACAATCACGCACAAAACCATGAGGGAAGCAGAGGGTTAAATAGGGAAATAATCATAACGTGATGGGAACCAGGTGTGTACAATCAAGACAAAACATAGAAAAAGAAACGTAGATCGGTGGCAGCTAGAAAGCCGGTGACGACGACCGCCAATAGCCGCCCGCACACGGAGAGGCACCAACTTCGGCGGAAGTCGTGACAGAAATCTTATATGCCTACTTGTGTCTTTGAAAATGAATTATATGAGTCAATGTATTTTTGCAGCAATTTAAGGACAGTTTTGAATAAGTCATACAAATAAGCATTGGATATTTAATATTCCAGGAATCAAATATATATTTTTTAATTTTAGTATTGTGCACACGCTAGGCAACACATAAACACATCATATATATTAGAGATGATGGCAAGGATCTTCAACTAGTAGGCATAAACCACCTGAACATTAATATGTATTAGATTTAAAGAGATATTTCACCTAAATTACAAAATATAAAATGTTTGTGTCCTTACCTTGTCTATGGACAAGGAGACTGCAATCTATGATTTGGTTATCCACTGCCATCAACCATTAATATTTCCTGTGCAGAGCCTTGGTGTACTGGTAACGCTCCCTGGCACGTGTTGCATACAACTTTCCACCTGAAAACAGTGATCAATCCCTGCTTCCAACCATCACACTGTTTCTAGCATTTGCCTATCTCATTTCATTACAGACCTGCCACTGTGAAATATCTTCTCCATAACCAAAGGTTATCTTCGCTGTTATTAGTCATTGAGTTGATTTGGTCATGCAATATTGACCATACCAGTTTTTGTTTTATACGGTATAGAATATAATCCAATAGGCCTACATTGTTTAGCTGTGTAGGAATTCCAGTCAAATTCAGATACTTCTTGTGATGCGTTTCACATAATATGACTTATAATAATATGATATTATGAAGGAAAGGGCATGTGAAGGTTCACTTGATTTCAAGTTGCCAGTTCTGCCCCATCTTCATTACTCTGGGGGGGCTGTTTAGTCCCACATGATATGGAGAGACACCCGCTTGTTTTTACAATATAGCCAACGTGACTGCAGCTGGCCCATCTAGCGGAAAGCACTCAGTTCTGCCTCCAGGACAAGACTCATGACAAACATCAACCTACAGAGTATTTTGTTGTTGTTGTTTTTATTAAGGATCCCCATTAGCTGCTGCCAAGGCAGTAGCTACTCTTCATGGGGTCCAGTAACATTAAGACAGTTATACAGTTTACAATATTATATGACATTACATTTCATAACACTTTACCCAATACATTTAGTGTGTTCGCCGCTTGTTCTGGTCTGGTTACAGTCACATTTTCGCATCATTTATTAAACATTTATATATTTAAAGTGATCATTGAGGACCTCTGACAACCCATCAAAATGGCATATTAGTAGCCTAAGTAAGTGCTTTAGCAATGACAGTATGTTAAGGTTAATTAAAACATATCTTTAAATTGAGCTAAAATAACAAATAGTGTATTAACTTGTAGTAAATAATGTATTATGTTAGCTACCACAGGTACGTAGAACTGAAACGTAACTTGAGGAAAATGCTGATTGTAAACTGTTAGAAAATACTTTTTTGTCACTTCAGTCTTTTATTCTGACAGCAATCAATAGTTTATTAACTTGTAGTATATTATGTATTATGTTAGCTACCACGAAGCTATCAAGAAATGCCTATGCTTCTATTACACTGAGCACTTCATTCCCTTTTATTTCACTGTGAAAGTCAATCAATAAATATGTAGCATCCAGCATTTTCTTCACTACGGTCTTTCTTCTAACAGTATGAGGGCAGCACTTCTAACTGCACTAGAAAATAACGTGGAGACCTGTTATCCAAACTTTAGTGTAATTTCAAAAACAGTGCATTTAAAGTCATACAGCTGTCCCAGAATTATACTGGGTTGTTTCCATTAGGGATTCTTGTGAGTCACTGGACTGCCCCTGTTGTGTAGTCTGGGGTAATGTGCTGCCCCTTGTGTTCTGGGGTGGGTGTCTCATGTTCCATCTCTTCTTGGTTCTCTAGGGCTCCTGTGGAGTCACTGGACTGCCCCTGTTGTGTAGTCTGGGTAATGTGCTGCCCCTTGTGTTCTGGGGTGGGTGTCTCATGTTCCATCTCTTATTGGTTCTCTAGTGATCCTGTGGAGTCACTGGACTGCACCTGCAGTGTAGTCTGGTTTATGTGCTGATGGGTGTCTCATCCATCTCCTCATGACTCTGGGTGGATGTCTGGTTGGTATCATCTTTCTCTGTGTCTGGTTCCTTCTCCTCTTCCCCTTCCTCCTCCATCTCTCCTTCATTTCCCCTCTCATCCTCTGTGTTTGCATCAATACCTCTATTGTGGTCCATTTTCCATCTCTGTTCTCTTTTCTTTTATCTTTCTCCTCTCAGTCTCTTTATTACTTCCTCTTTGCCCTTTCCCTTATTCTTCCACCTCATTATTCTGTCTCTACTCCCCTGGCTGGTTCCCCTGACTGGGTATCCTGGTTGTCCTCCTATGTGTGTTGATTTGTCTGGTTCTTGTCTTTGTGGTCTGCTGTGTACTGTCCTTTCTCCTTCGTTCTTTATCTTTGGGTTTGCAACATTCCCCCTGTCGTGTCGGCTGTTGGTGGTTATTGCTGTCAAACAAAGAGTCCGCTTAGGCTGCACCTTGATTAGAAGTTTTTATTCGTATCACAAGTTTACAGACCCGCGGTGTCTGGAGAAGCAACGTCCCAAAATAATCTGAATGCTTCTGACCCCCTCTTTGTCTAGCTCATACTTATAAACAAAGCCAAAATATGGGTTGCTCCCTCTTTCGTCCAATCACCAGTCTCCCCTGGGGCGTCACCCCACAAACGGCTACTTTTGAACTAAGATAAACATTCTTTTCTTTGTTCCTCTAAAATAGTCATAATCGTCATACACGACATATCCCCCCTTCGAGACTAACTAAAAGTCTCGAAACCAAACAGAATAGGATTATGACAAGTAACAATTTATCTTATTGAGTATCTTTAACATTAAACCAAAAACATTCTCCTCTAGAGTGTAAATACCTTTCTATGAAATATGAATAAATGTTTATGAAGTGTGAATACATTACTATGAAATATGAACAAATCTTTATGGAGTGTGAATACATTACTATGAAATATGAACAAATCTTTATGGAGTGTAAGAGCGAAAAACTGTCCGGCAGCCATCTTTCCAGATATCCATCCATCAATCAAGACAGTAAAAATTCTCTCACGGTTCCTCTGCCCCAGGCAACCACCTAGATACTCCAGATAAACTCATAAACAATGTAAATGCATTTGAAACTATGATGCAATTAAATACACATGTAAGCCCCTGCAAACAAAATACTATCCAAAAAATGTCCACTCTAAGGCTGGTCAACCCATCGGATCCTACAGTGGACCTCTCCCTGCCTAGACTTCCCTGTCCCTAAGCATCAACGAAATAAACAAAACATCTAAGATCCTCACATTGATTCAATAACATCAAATATCCTTCTACAAAAATTAATACCTAAGACTATGACACACATTATGTATTACACATGCAAATATGTCTATATTTCATTGCAGACACTGGAATGTAGTCCACTACACTTCATCTCCCCGTAGTCCCGACTTCCAATGGCATATATAACCCTAGTGATAATATCTGAACTATCTGGACTCAAGTATAACTAATATTATCAATATGATCTTCCCAAATGTTACACCATACCATGGAAAAGTCCCCCTTCTCTCTTAGCCTTATCCTTCAATGATAGGCTTGAAGACTATGACATGTCGCCATGTCTCTTTTCATCCTATTTCCAAACCTAGCTTCAGATTTATCGTGTCCGGTGCTACCCCTCTTTTAATGGTAAAGCCTCATATGGAAGCTTCAACGTTGACATGTAACAACATCCTGTCCATCCATAGGGTAATATATATGCTTTATCACCACAAACCCTCTAAATATCTCTAACATTCCCAATAGTCACATTGTCAGGCAAAAGCTAATCTTTTAACCATCAAAGTCCTGCTTTTCTTACTAACTGGAACATAAAAAGTAAAATTATATTTCTCATTACTACCCTTAAGGTCATGCATACCCAAAGTTAAATCATTTTACTCATAACAATTAAATAGCCCCTTTAAAAAACCCCTTACCCATAGTTTTTTAGAAAAAACCCCCTTTTTTAGCCCCCCGGTTTCACCTCCAATTTTCGGGGTTTGCTTTTCCATTTTCCTTACCATCCAAAACCTTTCACAGGGGAAATTAAATTTTAAAAACCAAAGAACACCAAAACCCTAGGTTTGCTTTTTTTACAAACAAATTTTTTAAAAAACATTACTTTATTGTCAATGCCTTGCAAATTACAACACCATGACAAACAATAAGACGGGACCCACTTGATAGGGGTTTGAGGGGGGACCGTCTCAAAAATTTTAAAAACCCCAAAACTTTTGGTGCTGGAATTCTCAAAAAGGACAGGGACCCTAAAAGTTTTCCTCACTGTCTTACGAATGAGTTAACTTGGAACCAAAGTTTCCCCTACCGCCCATCTATCTTTTAATTTTTCCCAAAAAACCAAAGAATAAACCCACCCAAAATTTTATTTCCCCCCCCCCTAACAGCTGTAATGTTTAAAATTTACCTTCCCCTTTGTCTGTCTTTAAAATTTCAAAACCTCATCCTGAAACCCCCCTGATAGTTTTCCTTTCACTTTTTCAGAGGAATCTATATTGACACCTCTCCCCCGTATCAAAAAAACCCCAGTCTCCTTGCTACCCCCCCTTTATTTCAGAAAAGTTTTTTGTCGGGGGGGTGTAATACTTCCTACATTTGCTTTTTCCCATCGCCCCCTTAACCCCTTTCCCAAAAGTTACCTTTAAAGTATTTTGTTTTAGTTGATGAAAATTAATTTTTTTTTTTTTTTCTAGTGGGAAAGCTACCGTTACCTATGTGCATTATTTACTGTTGGAGTGACTACTGTAACATATTCTTCCTGAACTCCTTGGTGACTGTGGAAACTTCAACAGACTTCAAATCTTCCATTATAAGCGTCACTTTATGAATTACATAGCCTTTTAACCAATAATTCTTAAGCGGAACAAATTTTAATGCTTGCACTAGATAAGTACACATATATTCTCTCTCCCTGATCTTTCTCTGTAACATTACGCAAAATAAGTGAACAATCACTCATAACCCTCTTCCCCTTCATATTGTTGTACAACTATACTTCCTTTGACTAGGTGCAACAGCTTCTACATCTGGTCCTGATAACAATACTTCTTCTCCATAATTATCTCTCCATGTGGGAGGAACGTCCCCATCCTAACCCCATAAGTATTTTTTTCCCCCTAAAATTGGTGCTGGAGCATTGGTTCCCTTATAATCAAATGCGATATATTTATGGCTTTAATAACTATCAATGTTGAAAGAGTTAGATTGCTTCTCACTGTTGTTATAATAGACTGAAGTGTTGATGTCATTGTTGTTACTTCATCCATTTTCCCCCAAAAGCTTTGAAACTCTTTGCTTGTACTTCCATCTATCACCACTAGTGTCACTTTTTCAACTCTCAGTCTACCTCTAATCCCTGACTTTCAAACTTCTGATTATAAAAAATACACCCACAATTACCTTGATCTTCCTGCTGGGACCTGTAAGTATAGATACTCAATCACCCTCAATCTTCTCTTATCATTTAGCAACGCATCTGCTCCTAACAGATCTAAACTCTACCATATTTATCTTCCCAATAACTCTAGTTCTCCTAACTTTTTTTATCTAATCTTTTCTCCTAACCTTTAAAAACCTTTTCCACTGATTTATTCACAAAATCTTTACCACCAATTTTTAGAATATGTGATGACTTCTTTACACACAGACTTGGCAAACGACTAAACACCTTTTAGCCTAGCCTGAAATCTCTTGGTGTAAGAATGTAACCCAGAATAACAGTCACCCCTTTTAACTTATTTTTCAGACAGATTGTCTAATAGGCAGTCCTAATAGATTATCATCCTTCCTATGATATTATCTTTTTAAGCCAATATGATTCCCAAAAACCCTACTTTTAAATCCTCTACCAGACAGTCGTCTAGTGTACATCTTATTGTACAATCAATTTAAACAATGCATCTCTTCCCAACACTGCAATAGGTATATGTTCTAATATTAGTATGTCTATTTTAATTTCTCTTTGAGTTTTATAGCAGAGCTCAATTGGTTCCTTAAGAGTAATTAACTGTTTTACTACCTCAAATCCCTATCCTAATTATTTAATTTTACATAGTGAGATGTTTAACCTCTTTAGGCTGAACACAGATAAAAGTTTTTCCACTATTCACTATCACTTCTCATAGTCCTCTGTTTTTACTTCAATTGTGTGATATTTTCCCTTCTTCTCTAATCGGTGGCTATTTTATTTTATTTATTTATTTCACCTTTATTTAACCAGGTAAGCCAGTTGAGAACAGGTTCTCATTTACAACTGCGACCTGGCCAAGATAAAGCAAAGTAGTGCAATAAAAACAACACAGAGTTACATATGGGGTAAAGAAAAAAAAACATAAAGTCAGAAAATACAACAGAAAATATATATACAGTGTGTGCAAATGTAGCAAGTTATGGAGGTAAGGCAATAAATGGGCTATAGTGCAGAATAATTACAATAGTATTAAACACTGGAATGCTAGATGTGCAAGAGATTATGTGCAAATAGAGATACTGGGGTGCAAAAGAGCAAATTAAATAACAATATAGGGATGAGGTAGTTGGGTGGGCTAATTTCAGATGGGCTGTGTAAGTGCAGTGATCGGTAAGGTGCTCTGACAACTGATGCTTAAAGTTATTGAGGGAGATAAAGAGTCTCCAGCTTCAGAGATTTTTGCAATTCGTTCCAGTCATTGGCAGCAGAGAACTGGAAGGAATGGCGGGCCAAAGGAGGTGTTGGCTTTGGGAATGACCAGTGAGATATACCTGCTGGAGCGCAGACTACGGGTGGGTGCTGCTATGGGTGACCAATGAGCTAAGATAGGGCGGGGGATTTGCCTAGCAGTGATTTATAGATGGCCTGGAGCCAGTGGGGTTTGACGACGAACATGTAGTGAGGACCAGCCAACAAGAGCGTACAGGTCACAGTGGTGGGTAGTGTATGGGGCTTTGGAGACAAAACGGATGGCACTGTGATAGACTACATCCAATTTGCTGAGTAGAGTGTTGGAGGCTATTTTGTAAATGACATCGCCGAAGTCAAGGATCGGTAGGATAGTCAGTTTTACGAGGGCATGTTTGGCAGCATGAGTGAAGGAGGCTTTGTTGCGAAATAGGAAGCCGATTCTAGATTTAACGTTGGATTGGAGATTCTTTATGTGAGTCTGGAAGTTGAGTTTACAGTCTAACCAGACACCTAGATATTTGTAGTTTGTCCACATACTCTAGGTCAGACCCGTCGAGAGTGGTGATTCTAGTCGGGTGGGCGGGTGCTAGCAGCGTTCGATTGAAAAGCATGCATTTAGTTTTACTAGTGTTTAAGAGCAGTTGAAGGCTACTGAAGGATTGTTGTATGGCATTGAAGCTCGTTTGGAGGTTTTGTTAACACAGTGTCCAATGAAGGGCCAGATGTATACAAAATGGTGTCGTCTGCGTAGAGGTGGATCTGAGAGTCACCAGCAGCAAGAGCGACATCATTGATATACACGGAGAAAAGTGTCGGCCCAAGAATTGAACCCTGTGGCAACCCCCATAGAGACTGCCATAGGTCCAGACAACAGACTGACAGCTGACTATCAGCTGACACCCCCCTTCGTATCTTCTAGGCACTCTAGAATCCTTACTCCGGACCCCTGTAGGGGTTCACCTGTCCTCCAGATGATCTTGACTGGCTTCTGTATCTTCCTCTGAAATTCCCTCTGATGTTTCCTCCTGACTTATTGCACTCACAGGTAAAGTGACCAACCTGTCCATAATTATAACAGTCTTCTGAAAGTTGCTGGAAGTGTAGCTGAAAATCTTCCCTCCTCCTTCTAAGCCTTCTCGTCCTCTTCCTCTCCAATTCTGTGTCTGTCCAGAAACTGCTGTGGGTATGAAACACCTGGTACCCCCCCTTGGCTAGTACAATTGCATTTGATCTTGTTCAGTTGAAGCTGTAACAGTGATTGTTGATTTGGTTCACTCTGATTCTTCATAACCAAAGCTTCTCTTCTCCCTTCTCACCAGTTGTATGATTGAGTTTTTTGAGAGTTTCTTCGTCCTGTTCTTTGTTGTTGACATATCAGGATTCTTCAACAGCTTATATTCTAAGTTCTGTCCTCGAAATATCATCTTCCATCATCTTCCTACTATTGGCCTTTCCTTGACCTCAATGTATTCTTCTCCTCCAATTCTTGGGATCCTTTTCTCAGCAGTTTTTTCTTCTCTTCTGTTACTTTCATCCTCATCTTTCCGAACATCATTCTTCTCTTAGTTTCCAGACATCTCGGCTTTCTTACTTCTGGAGTTTTGGATTCATCTTCATTGTCGTTTCTGCTTGTCCTCTATCTATTATTCGTTCATCTTCATCTCTGATGCAATAATCACCCTGCTGGAGGATCACTGGAAGCTGAGGATAAACATCCCTAAGCTCTACTTCCTTCTCATAAGGTGGGTGTCTTTGCTGAATCCGTATGTGAGAAAGGTGTACTAACTTCTGCCATTAGTTTTTCTGTTGCCTTTCTTCCCTTCTTCTGATCTGCCTTGTAAATTGACAGAAGCACTTTCATGATGTTGATGACGTCAGGGCTAAGAGTCCCTTCCACTGGCCATGGTTGTTCAATGTCAGGCCAACGTTTGTTCCATTTGCCGGATAACCTCGCAATACCCTTAACTAAAGGATTACTATTCTCAACTATATCAACCGGTGTAATGACTTTTCATAGCCTTGCTGTCCTTTCTCCCCATTGTAACTACTCTTTTATATTCCTTTATTGTTAATTATTTTATTTTAGACTATATAGCCTATGGCTTCCCCCCTTTAATTATTAATATAAATCAATCGATAAAAATATGAATATGAAAAAATTCAATTAAATTTTTTATTCAAAAACCATTTCTAATTAAAATAAAAAATCAATTAAAAATTATGAACAATTAAAATCAATTTTGTATTTCTATATCCTATCCTACCAATTTATCAATTAGTGGCTATCTTACCACAACCCATCAGGAAAGAAAATGCAAGTAGTCAACTTCAGACTACAATCCTAAAAACAAAGCCTCTAACCCTACCATCACTACAATTCCCATAAACCCCCTTGCTCTAATAAGCACCTAATTATCTTAATTTGTACAGAATAATGTCAGTACTCGATTTCCAACACAACTGTAATCAAACCCAAGTGATGAACAGAGCCTCCCAAATGCAATTTTAATGAATCAGTATTTGCCAAGCCTATGTGAAATTGTCATAACATCAAATATCCTGTAGGGGAAGATTTTGTAAACATAACAGTACCAAAGAAACCTTTTGACTCGATCCTCTGTCGCGTCACGTGACGTGTACGTCAGCACCCCCTCTCTTTCTCTCTCTCTCTCCCTGTCGTCTCGTCCTATTGCTCCTCTCATATGACAAAAGAACAGAGACACAGAAAAAGATTTTAGTAGTTAATGCAATCACTGAGTTATTTCAACCATATTCAATATTCCCCCACTCACATTCGCTCTAAGACTTAAATCAAAGGGCTAAAAAAGATCACTTTACAAACATTTTTATTTAATGGCATTTTATTTTAAAATAAACCCTCAACATAATCAATTTATATAAAATTTAACATCTCCCCAAAAAGTTTCATTTCAAAACCACAGCCGCTTTAACCCCCAAAAAGATTCCCCTGTCCCCAAAATTTTCTTTTTCTTGGCTATTTTTTCCCGTCTCCCCCTTCAAACGCGCCCAAACCCCCAGAAATTTTGACACTTTTAAAAAACCCCAATCCCCTTTGTTTTTAGGTTTTTTGTAAAGTAAAAAACCCAAAGGGCTCATAAAAACCGTGCCATAAAATCCAAACCCCCCCTTTTTGTGGAGTTTTCGTAAAATTTAAAAGCTGCGCAAAAAAATTTAACTATTACCGGGTTCCCAACAAAAGAACGCCCAGGTTCCCCCTACAAAACCCCCACTATTTTTTTAAACCTTTTAAACAAACGATTCCCCTTACAAAGCTCCATTTGCGTAGAACTCTGAATTTACACACAACAAAAAACATTTTAAGAGGGGTTATCCATCGCAATGGGACCCCTAAGGACACCCGTTAGCATGTAGCACGCAACACAATTAGCATTAGCCGTTATGTACAATGTGGCATGAAACACAATCCAGCATTAGCATTAGCATTAGCATTTATCATGTGGCGTGCAAAAGTACAAGAAACCCTGCATGTGCCTAAATACATTTATCCCCTGCTAACTTTATGCTGCCGTGAGAATGGATATTATATGAGCGGTTACCCCAAGCAGATACCCCGTCGGCTACAAGATGAGAATAACTTACAATATAACCGTCCACCTCATAGTTCCCAGAACTAACTGAAACACCGAATGCATAATCAGGATTAGGGACCCATCCTATATGATGGCCTCGTTTCGAGGTCTTTCCAGATTCACAATGCCCTAAATGTATACGCATATCTGCCTTTTAATATCTGCCGTTAATATTCTGCCTTCAATTGCTGTACAATTTTAGAATAATTATGACAGACCCTTAGTCGACCGCAATAGCACCACATCAGCACAATCCCAAGTAATTTACATGGTACACCTTCACCAGCGCACATTCACAAGCCAGCCAAACAACTAATGCCCAATAATTTGTGAGGAATCTCACCTTTTTTAGCCGGCTTGAGCGGTAGTCACCTCGCTGCTCATGAATGAAACAAAGGGAAGTTGCAGGCCAATCTCAGCGGAGCCTCCATTGTGTCGTGTCGGCTGTTGGTGGTTATTGCTGTCAAACAAAGAGTCCGCTTAGGCTGCACCTTGACTAGAAGTTTTTATTCGTATCACAAGTTTACAGACCCGCGGTGTCTGGAGAAGCACCGTCCCAAAATAATCTGAATGCTTCTGACCCCCTCTTTGTCTAGCTCATACTTATAAACAAAGCCAAAATATGGGTTGCTCCCTCTTTCGTCCAATCACCAGTCTCCCCTGGGGCGTCACCCCACAAACGGTCTACTTTTGAACTAAGATAAACATTATTTTCTTTGTTCCTCTAAAAGAGTCGTCATACACGACACCCCTCTCCTCTATTCTCTCTATCCAGCTCTGTATCTTCTCCACCTTGCTTCTGTCTGAGGTCTTTTCCCACATCTTTATCTTTTTCTTCTATCTGTTTGTCCATCTCTCCAACAATTGCCCCCAGCTCCTCTCCCTTATTCTTTTTTTTCCAGTTCCACCTTCTGCTTTCCCTCTTTCCAATCCCTTGGTTGTGGTTTGTCTCTCCATCCTTCCCAACGTCCACCTTGTTCTTTGCATCCACCTGTCTACCCTGTTTTTCTGTTTCTGCATTTAGTGGAGCCCCTTTGGGTGTTGGTGTGTTTGTGCCTAGATTAACTTCTTCAGGTCTTGTTGTGCCTGGGTCTTTTTGGGCCGTGGCGGGATCTGTTGTGCCTGCTGAGTCTGTTTGGCCTGGAGCCGTCTCTCTTGTTCTTGGGTCTGTTTTGCCTGGAGCCGTCTCTCTTGTTATTGGGTCTGTTTGGCCTGGAGCCGTCTCTCTTGTTATTGGGTCTGTTTTGCCTGGAGCTGTCTCTGTTGTGTCTACTGAGTCTGTTTTGGCCTGGAGCGGTCTCTCTTGTTCTTGGGTCTGTTTTGCCTGGAGCCATCTCTCTTGTTCTTGGGTCTGTTTTGCCTGGAGCCGTCTCTCTTGTTCTTGGGTCTGTTTTTGCCTGGAGCTGTCTTTCTTGTTCTTGGGTCTGTTTTTGCCTGGAGCCTTCTCTTTTGTTATTGGGTCTGTTTGCTTTGGAGCCGTTTTCTTGTTCTTGGGTCTGGTTGTCCTGGAGCCGTCCTTCTTGATCTTGGGTCTGTTTTGCCTGGAGCCGTCTCACTTGTTATTGGGTCTGTTTTGCCTGGAGCCATCTCTCTTGTTCTTGGGTCTGTTTTTCCTGGAGCCGTCTCTCTTGATCTTGGGTCTGTTTGGCCTAGAGCCGTCTCTCTTGTTCTTGGGTCTGTTTTGCCTGGAGCCATCTCTCTTGTTCTTGGGTCTGTTTTGCCTGGAGCTGTCTCTCTTGTTCTTGGGTCTATTTGGCCTGGAGCTGTCTCTGTTGTGATTGGACCCGGTTGGGCTGGCACAGGCTCTGTTGTGACTAAGTCTGGTTGGGCCAGGGTGGGTTCTGGTGTGACTAGGTCTGGTTGAGCCAGGGTGGGGTCTGGTGTGATTAAGTCTGGTTGGGCCAGGGTGGCCACAGGTGTGACTAGGTCTGGTTGGGCCGGGGTGGAGTCTGGTGTGACTAGGTCTGGTTGGGCCGGGGTGGGCACTGGTGTGACTGGGTCTGGTTGGGGCCAGGGTGGAGTCTGGTGTGACTAGATCTGGTTGGGACGGGATGGGCACTGGTGTGACTGGGTCTGTTTGGGCCGGGGTGGACACTGGTGTGACTGGGTCTTGTTGGGCTAGGGTGGGGTCTGGTGTGACTGGGTCTGGTTGGGCCGGGGTGGAGTCTGGTGTGACTGGGTCTGGTTGGGCCGGGGTGGGCACTGGTGTGACTGGGTCTGGTTGGGCCGGGTTGGACACTGGTGTGACTGGGTCTGGTTGGGCCGGGGTGGGCACTGGTGTGACTGGGTCTGGTTGGGCCAGGGTGGGGTCTGGTGTGACTGGGTCTGGTTGGGCCGGGGTGGGGTCTGGTGTGACTGGGTCTGGGTCTGGTTGGGCCGGGGTGGGCACTGGTGTGACTGGGTCTGGTTGGGCCAGGATGGGGTCTGGTGTGACTGGGTCTGGTTGGGCCGGGGTAGGGTCTGGTGTGACTAGGTCTGATTGAGCCGGGGTGGGCTTGTCCTGTACTGGCTCTGTCTCTGTCATTGAAACAGAATGAGAATGAAAAAGTGGTCAGATGACGCAGATGCTAAGCTATAGGTTTTGCTAGCACAGACTGGAACATGTTCCAGGATTCTTCAGATAGCATTGAGGAGTACACCACATCAGTCACTGGCTTCATCAATAAGTGCATCGATGACGTCATCCCCACAGTGACCGTACGTACATACCCCAACCAGAAGCCATGGATTACAGGCAACATCCGCACTGAGCTAAAGGGTAGAGCTGCCGGTTTCAAGGAGCTGGACTCTAACCCGGACGCTTATAAGAAATCCCGCTATGCGCTCCGACGAACCATCAAACAGGCAAAGAGTCAGTACAGGACTAAGATTGAATCGTACTACACCGGCTCTGACACTCGTCGGATGTGGCAGGGCTTGAAAACTATTACGGACTACAAAGGGAAGCACAGCAGCGAGCTGCCCAGTGACACAAGACTTCCAGACGAGCTAAACCACTTCTATGCTCGCTTCGAGGCAAGCAACACTGAAGCATGCATGAGAGCACCAGCTGTTCCGGATGACTATGTGATCACGCTCTCAGTAGCCAATGTGGTCGCAGGGCCAGACGGATTACCAGGACGTGTACTCCGAGCATGTGCTGACCAACTGGCAAGTGTCTTCACTGACATTTTCAACCTGTCCCTGACTGAGTCTGTAATACCAACATGTTTCAAGCAGACCACCATAGTCCCCGTGCCCAAGGACACTAAGATAACCTGCCTAAATGACTACCGACCCGTAGTACTGACGTCTGTAGCCATGAAGTGCTTTGAAAGGCTGGTCATGGCTCACATCAACACCATTATCCCAGAAACCCTAGACCCACTTCAATTTGCATACCGCCCCAACAGATCCACAGATGATGCAATCTCTATTGCACTCCACACTGCCCTTTCCCACCTGGACAAGAGGAACACCTACGTGAGAATGCTATTCATTGACTACAGCTCAGCATTCAACACCATAGTGCCCTCAAAACTCATCACTAAGCTAAGGATCCTGGGACTAAACAACTCCCTCTGCAACTGGATCCTGGACTTCCTGACGAGCCGCCCTCAGGTGGTAAGGGTAGGTAACAACACATCTGCCACACTGATCCTCAACACTGGGGCCCCTCAGGGGTGTGTGCTCAGTCCCCTGCTGTACTCCCTGTTCACCCATGACTGCATGGCGAGGCACGATTCCAACACCATCATTAAGTTTGCAGACAACACAACATTGGTACGCCTAATCACCGACAATGATGACACAGCCTATAGGGAGGAGGTCAGAGACCTGGCCGTGTGGTGCCAGGACAACAACCTCACCCTCAACGTGACCAAGACAAAGGAGATGATTGTGGACTACAGGAAAAAAAAGAGGACTGAGCACGCCCCCATTCTCATCGACGGGGCTGTAGTGGAACAGGTTGAGAGCTTCAAGTTCTTTGGTGTCCACATCACCAACTAACTATCATGGTCCAAACACACCAAGACAGTCGTGAAGAAGGCACGACAAAGCCTATTCCCCCTCAGGAGACTGAAACATTTGTCATGGGTCCTCAGATCCTCAAAGAATTCTACAGCTGCACCATCGAGAGCATCCTGACTGGTTGCATCACCGCCTGGTATGGCAACTGCTCAGCCTCCGACCGCAAGGCACTACAGAGGGTAGTGCGTACGGCCCAGTACATCACTGGGGCCAAGCTTCCTGCCATCCAGGACCTCTATACCAGGCAGTGTCAGAGGAAGGCCCTCCAAAATTGTCAAAGACTCCAGCCACCCTAGTCATAGACTGTTCTCTCTGCTACCGCATGGCAAGCGGTACCGGAGTGCTAAGTCTAGGTCCAAAAGACTTCTCAACAGCTTCTACCCCCAAGCCATGAGACTCCTGAATAGCTAATCATGGCTACCCAAACTATTTGCACTGCCCCCCCATCCCCATCCCCACCCCCACCCCATCTTTTTACGCTGCTGCTACTCTGTTAATTATTTATGCATAGTCACTTTAACTCCACCCACATGTACATATTACCTCAACTACCTCAACTAGCCGGTGCCCCCTGCACATTGACTCTGCACCGGTACCCCCCTGTATATGTAGTCTCCCTACTGTTATTTTATTTTACTTCTGCTCTTTTTTCCTCAACACTTTTTTTTGTTTGTTTTATTTTACTTTTTTTATAAAAAAATAAATGCATTGTTGGTTAAGGGCTGTAAGTAAGCATTTCACTGTAATGTCTACACCTGTTGTATTGGGCGTATGTGGCCAATACAATTTGATTTGATACATGACTACACAAACACTATTATATAGACACATTTGACTTATTGACAACATTACTTATTATGTCATTGTCAGTCTCAATATTGAGTATTCTGTTTAACCTGTCTGCCATGGGAGATAAAATCACCTGTCTGTCTGTCTGAGAGCCTGTCATTCTGTCTGTCCAGAGGGATGTGACCCCCACTTTTTGTTGGAAAGAAAATCCTTCCAGCTGGTGCAGTGTGCTGTTTCCTGTTTGCATCTGCATCCCACTTGTTAATCAGCTTTATCCTCTCCTTCACATTTCCTGTACACACAAAAACATTAATCTCCATTAATATCATATGTATTCAAAGTTCCTTATGCCCAAGGTAATAAACACCATATAAGGAGAACCTTTTAGTGTAGAAGTTCTATTTCCAGTGTTCTCAGAATGGTCATCCTCACAATCTTTGTTTCCTATTAAATTAAGACATAAACAAAATAGTTTTATTCAGAAACAGTAAAATGGTAAGGTATTCACTTAGTCTTAAAATATAGGCTACCGGTCAAAAGTTTTAGAACACCTACTCATTCTTGGGGTTTTCTTTATTTTTACTATTTTCTACATTGTAGAATAATAGTGAAGACATCAAAACTATAGAATAACACATACGTAATCATGTAGTAACCAAAAAAGTGTTAAACAAATCAAAATATATTTTATATTTGAGATTCTTCAAATAGCCACCCTTTGCCTTGATGACAGCTTTGCACACTCTTGGCATTCTCTCAACCAGCTTCACCTGGAATGTTTTTCCAACAGTCTTGAAGGAGTTCCCACATATACTGAGCACTTGTTGGCTGCTTTCCTCAAATATAAAATGTATTTGATTTGTTTAACACTTTTTTGGTTACTACATGATTCCATATGTGTTATTTCATAGTTTTGATGTCTTCACTACTATTCTACAATGTAGAAAATAGTAAACATAAAGAAAAACCCTTGAATAAGTAGGTGTTCTAAGACTTTTGACCGGTAGTGTATGTGATGTCCAAACGAAGTCTATAGCAATAGACCTCAAGTTCAAAATGGCATTTATTCAGCTAAACAACCTTGTACTGTAACTTCCATCAGCCCCGCCTCCTCTTCAGATTTTCTCAGTGCAGCTTCAGCCGCTGGTCATCCACCACAGAGTGGAAAAGACGAGAGGGATAAAGGACAGAATTAGACATAGGGAAGAGATGTGGGTAAACATCCTGTATCATTTATATGTCTAACCAGAAAGACTATGTATGTACTTTGCTGTGTTTGCTGGTTGTACTCTTTTCTCTCCTCTTCTCTACTCTAATCTCTAATCTCAGATCCAAGGTCAACGACCTTGTAACAAGTCAGCTGGTGTCACTGGCACCGTGATCATCTGAAAGCTCAGCACACGCCAGGGTAGTATAGAGGAAATGGATTGACTCTGGTCTAGCCAGATCATTAGAATGAGGGGCTTTTCCTCCCATAATACTGAACTATGCCCCTTATATTTCCTAAATCTGGAAGTAAAGGTTGGCCTTCAGGCCTGATTTTGTCATAGGACATAGGATGGTCTTACGTTTCTTGCCTTTCCTCCAGCGCCACAATAATACCAGAACGGCAACTAAGACGAGGAGGATGAGGATGGACAGGATCACAGCCAGGACACTGGATGAGCCTTCCTCTGCACAGAAACACCATTAAAACAACTTGGATCAGCAGCATTTCCACACTTAATAACACATGAATTAAGCAGTCATAACACTATGAATTATATAGTAATGTAAGTGACTAATATATTAATATCATGGATCTGCAAAAAAATATGTTTAGCATGATCACTATAACATTATATACACATAAATCTCATTATAGGTCTATCTAAACCATGTTCGCACTATCAATAAATGTACAGAATCTATATTTCATGCAAATGTGTTGGCAGCATTAAATAATACATCCAAATAGTGAACACGATAGATAATTAAAGTGAGAGTACGGTGTATTACTGTAACTACAGTTTAGAAGTGTTATCTTACCAGTGTAGCAGTCCTTCAGGGTGAACTCTGCAGTTTTCTCACTAACAGGGTTTTTCACCACACATGTGTAGACAGACTCCTGGTTCTCCCCCCCAGGTATGAACAGTTCAGGTCCTGGACTCACGGACCCTCCAGGACTCCTCCAGATGAACTGGGTCAGGGGCTGGAGGTCAGCTGAGCACAGCAGGGTTCTGTCCATGTTCTCTGGGGTTGTGTTGTTGACCACACAGGTTATGGTGGGCTGTGACACAACATCTAAACATACCCAGCAAAACTGTTTCAGTCTTAAAATAATAGACTGTGATATATCACACCTGCACAAGTAAACATTAATGATGATAGTTTTGTGACAAGACTAGAATAGGAGTGTGGTTATAAGAGTAACAGTAGTGTTAGTATAGGGGGTTGAGAGTCTTTAAAAACACTGAGTGTGGGGGATAGCATTGTCAGGTATTCCTTTTTCTGTCTCTCTCCAGGTAGACTTAAGAAAAGTGAGAAGTAGTTTTCAGCTTTATACAACCAACACTTGGCCTTTTACTAGGGCTTGGCCTAATGATACATGCACACTTACTGACATACTGTACACACACTGTAACATACACTTGACTTGTAGACCTATACAAACACTTACCTATTACCTTGACATCATGGTGTGAGTCTTGTAGCTTGCCGTTGATGACTGCCTCTAACAAGTAGGATCCACTGTCTGCATCTGTGAGACCACTGATAGTTAGCTCTCCAGTGTGCCAGTCCAGGATGATCCTGTGTTTATACCTGCCATACTCCCTGTTCTGGCTCCCATCAAACACTACCACCTTGTTTCCATTGTGTTTCCACAGGATGTATTCAATATATCCAGACATCGAGGGGGTCAGGGTGATCTCTCCTCCCTGACCACCATACTGCTGTGCACCTGTTCCTTCCACTGGGCACAGAAAATCAGAAAATATTTTAGAAAAGCTTCTCTTTGGAAACACACAGTAGCTTACCACACCCTAATATTGCTGAATTGGCTGTTTCAGCCCAATTCTGATCTTTTGTCCAATGTTTGGTAAAAGATTAGCTACAGATTGTTACACCAGATAAAGATTTTTGCTATCAATTACTGGGAGTTAGCCATTACTGGGAGAAGACTTGAAATAGACAAGATGGCGGCGTACACATTGTTGGATTACTTCATGGAGCAAAATAAGTATTTATTTTAATAATGGAGCATTTTCTAAATTCAAAACAGACCCACTGAAACTGGACATGGACATTTTATGAGACTCCTGTTTCCACAAATCCAGGACAAAGATGGTATCGCCAAGCTAATTTGTCACACAAGCTCATGTGATAGCTTAGCCTAGCGGTTAAGAGTGTTGGGCAAGCAACGAAAGGTTGCTGGTTCAAATCCCTGAGCCGACTTGGTGAAACATCGGTAGATATGCTCTTGAGCAAAGCACTTAACCCTAATTTCTCCTGTAAGGCGTTCTGGATAAGAGTGTCTGCCTAATGATGTAAATCTAAATGTAGCTAGCAAAAGATCTTATCTGACTGGTCAGAAGACCAATAATGAGTGCTGTGTATTCATGGATGCCAAGGGAAGCCAGCCCCCCCCCCCCCCAATTTTTTTATTTTTAAATAATGTATCTTTCGTCTCTGTGTTTCATCATTTTCATAAAATTCGCAAGAGGCTGAATGTATCTCACTAGAGAAAGCATCCGATCGAACGAAAGAGTGCCCCTCTGTCTCTGTATGTGTAGGCCATCTATCTGATGCTGTCTGGTCCAAATAGTATGACATTGTTGCTGCCAGTAGCATTGAATGCAAGGGAAGCTAGCGAGCAATTGGCCTCCCTTGATAAAAATTTAATACATAATAGAAAATCAGCATTGAGCTAAACTGAGTGAGCTCAACTGTGAATGGTCCTGGCGCACCAAAAGAAAAGTGTCACTGGAAGCCAGTTTAAATTTGGCTTCTCTCCAATCACATTGCATCGGGAGCCTATGTCATTGACAGAAACAATTTGAATTGTTGCATCTAGTTGTGTTGTTGTCCTCCGGTAGATAGCTAGCTACCTAAAATTGTCCCTTTCCTAAATTAGCCATGGATGGAGATACAATTTTGGACTGGCCAATGACTATAATGGCAATTTTGATCCAACCATAAATTGTGCCCCTGGTCCCTGGACTGAGAAGATGGAAGTTTAATATGTAGCTAGATGTAGAAGGCTAATGTTAACTAGCTAATGTTGCCCATGAAATTAAGTTGGTGGTGGGGTTGGAAAGTAATAAAGGGGAATATATATTTTTTTAAGGATATGTATGTGTCTGTGTGTATGTATGTGTGTATATATATATATATATATATATATATATAAACATGGGGGATTGGAAGTGATGCAGACAATTACATTGATGGAAGTTACAATCTATCTGCAATATTAAGCTGATCTACCCCCTAAAAAAAAAGAGAGAAAAAATATGAAGAAAAAAAACACGAAACAAAAAAAATAGAACTAGCTAACGGTGCCCATGAAATGAAGTTAGGCTAGCGAGCAAGCATTTTAGCCAGGTAGCCTAGGACAACAAAACATTTAAGCGTGTGCTGTATGATAGACTGATTCGTCAACATGAAAGAGAGGAGGATGACATTGGCGTTTCTCTACAAGTAGGGTGAGTCAACAGCTCCTGTTTTCTTTGCAATTGCAGTAATTCTCTGTGGTTCTAATTCAATAGTTGTTTAGTGGAAACATTAACTTGCTTGACCATGCTGTAGGTAATGTAACTGTTTGTTACATGCAATATGCTTTGTGGACTTGTCTGGTTGTTGTCTGGTTATGTGATGAATCTAAGTTGTGGTTGAATTTATTCTGCCACTGTGTCTTCTTATTTTGTCGGCCGTAGGCCTATATATAACGGTCACAAGGCATATCAACTCACAGGTTATAGAGCAAACAACGCAATTATAACAACACATAGGTTGTAATATGGCTTTTTTTTCTGGCTTCCGCAGTGATTTTACCCACACACGTTCCCCAGATAAAGGCTAGCCAACACAGTGCTATTACTGTACCATTAGGCCTCTAGCAAAACATATGTGCTTATTCTAAGCCCTACTTGCTTATGTGTCATTAAACCTGTAACATTGCTGAGTGACCCCAATAACCTCCTATAACCCATGTAACCAGCCTCTGTGCTGAAAAAGACGTGGAGCACCAGCCCGTGTAGAAAGACACGGAGCAATACACTATTTTGTTAAGGCATAAGAAAATGTGCACACTTACCAAGACAATAACTCCCCAGCACAATTGTGAAGAAAATGCGAGATGCCATTGCATTTGAACAGCCTTCTCCGCTTGTTGAAAGTGAAAGTGAAAGTTGGCAGTTGTCTGAGTCACTCATTCCTCAAGCTGCATAATTATAAAATGGGAGGGGCCATAAACTTAAAGATGCACTATGCAGAAATCGCTCTGCAATTTCCTGGTTGCTGAAATTCTAATAGTTCGCTTAATTTCAGTTTATGTCACAAAACAAGCAAGTATAGTGTAGAGAATCATACCATCTAAACCGCTGTGAAATATATCTTCACTGTTCGTAGTCATTGAGTTGATTTGGTCATGCAATATTGAACATGGTGAACAGGCCCATACCATTTTTTGTTATACAGTATAGAGTATAATCCAATAGGCCTAAATTGTTTAGCTCTGTAGGAATTCCAGTCAAATTCAGATACTTCTTGTGATGCGTTTCACATAATATGACTTATAATAATATGATATTATGAAGGAAAGGACATGTGAAGACTCAATTGATTTCAAGTTCCCAGTTCTGCCCCAATCTTCATTACTCTGGGGGGCAGTAGCGGTGCGTGGGTAACATCACTGAGGAAGCCAAGCCAAGCCAGTAAAGTAACCCATATTACAACCTTTGTTGGGATAATTGCATTGTTTGCTCTATAACCCATCCGTGATATACAATAAGGCTGTGACAACAAAAAGACAACAGTCACACAGTGGCGGAATAAATTAAACTGCACATCAAGGGATCCTGATATTTTACAGGTGAAAAATATGGACTTTGTATTACTTATTGCAATGGTCATAAACTGCACAGCACAAACGAAAAATAAATCAGAGAAAATTGGAATCATTGTGAGTGCAGCAAAACGCTTTTTGGATGTCAATAAGTTTACAGCTGAGGCATTGCATGAAATCCTGTCAAAGGATGTTCAGCCCTCACAGGGATGTCACTTGATTGGAATGTGACTGAAGGAAGTGACCATTTTTGTTTGTGTCTATTTCTGTATTTTGTATGATGTCGTTTTAACCCCCTTTCATACAATGGATATTTTTCTATAGTTTACCACCGCTACAGTAGGTGGCAGCATGCACCTCTAATACTTGTTTGCGGACCGCCATAATATAGTACCATTGACGAAGAAGAAGAGTTATATCACCTGCAGCATGGTGCAGCAAGTTAATGTTCGACAGTTTACTAAACAACTACTGATTTAGAACCATGGAGTTACCGCAAGTCAGCACAAAGACAACAGGAGCACTGCCTCTGCTATTCCAGCACCATTTCAACTTAAACATTAAATTAACAAGGCTATATATGCTTAGTTTAATATACTGAAAACAATTTAGTCCAATCAATGTTGGGAATGTGGCTGTCCATGGCAGTGATTTCTCTCTGTTTGTGTGTGTGCGCACACAGGTAAATGTTTTTTATTTTTTTACTCACCCTACTTATAGACTAGTTGAACGCCAATGCTATCCTCCTCTCTTTCATATTGGCAAAACGGTCTATGGCTCTGTCATGCTTTTAGTTTTTGTTGTCACAGGCTACCGAGCTAAAATGCTTGCTAGCCTGACTTCCTCGCATGGGCAACTATGAACCAGCTAAGTTAGCTAGCTAGCTAGTTAATGTGACTCTACTAGGTTACATCTAGGCTACATACTGAACTTCAATTATTTCAGGCCAGTGGCACAATATATTCATTCATGGTTAGATCAGAATCAGCTTCATAATAAAATAAAGGTTAAATAAAAGAATCATAAAAAAATTAAAAATTGGTCTGTACAGAGAATTAAGTAAAAACCCCAAGTCCAAATCCCCATATCCATCCATGGCTTCAGAAAGGGACGATTTAGCAAGCTAGCTACTGCAAGACATCAACACAAGCAGACCAGAAACAGACAAGTTTTTCTGAAAATGAGGTTTTGCAAAGGAAGTGATTTGATTGGTATGAAGCCAAATCCAAACTAGCCTTGTTTTGCTGACCTGGACAATCCACAGTTGAGCTCAGCTCAACGCTGAATGTGTCAGCTTCCTGCCTCCTGTTTGTCTCCGGGCCTCTAGAGGTCATCTGTGTTCCCCTCTGCCTTAGTTCTTCCTCGTGTGTCCTTATTAGCTTTATCCAGGTCACCTGTGCCTTGTTTCCCCTAGAGTATTTTAGCTGTGTTTTTTCCCCTTGTTCCTCACTTGGTTTTTGAGTCCTGGCTATGTGTCTCCTGCTGTGTCCCACAGAGTCTTTCCGAGTAAGCTTTTCTAAGTTATCTTTATTTTGTTTTTCTCCCCTCGTGGAGTTATTTTGTTTGGTCCTCCTGTTTTGTTTACTGTACCTCTGTTAGTATACCTCTTTCTGAGAAGAACTTTTGTTGGATTATTTTTGAAGTGCAAAAGAATACCTTTTTTTATATTAAATCTACTTTGCCTGGAGTATTGCCTTGGGTGTTTCGTTTGGGTCCTACTATACCTCCTCTGTGGCTAAGGGGTAGAACACCCCACTCTCCACATCTGAGACCTGAGTTCAAGCCCAGCTTGTGACAGAAAAACCAAGACAATCATGGACTCAGAAACACTCAGTTCCAAGGACCTGTTGGCGGTGATCGCTCGACATGAGGCATCTTTCCAGCGCCATGAAGCCGTTCTCAGCCGACAGGAAGAGCTGATGGCTAGTCATTCTCAACTCCTGGCCG